TGAAAACTAGCCACTCCATATCAATCTATGTTTGGAAAACTAAAATAAAGAAAAACTAAATAAATAAAAATATTTTTCAAAAACTTAGTTGGGGTGAAATTTTGCTTAAAATTCAAATGTTTCTTTTCTTTTCTTTTCTTTTTTTTATAAAAGAATAAAACACATAATTTTGAAATAAAACAAAAAACAAACAAAAGAAACAAAATAGTTATCAAATGGGCCTAATTTTTAACCTATCTATCTCAAAGGAATGCATGGGCTCTAGTGCCAATGCTGCTTCAACTGTGTGATAGACCATGTGAAGTTAACATGACAATAATAGTAGGTTCTAAAGCACAAAAATATGTGGATAAATTTCATATATTGAGGTTGGATAAATTTCATATATTTAGGTGCAGAAAACATATACACACAGGCAACTAAAAATGATAGATCCACTATAAGGACATTTGGTCTAGTGGTATGATTCTCACTTCGGGTGCAAGAGGTCTCGAGTTTGATTCTCAAAATGCTCCCAACAATTATATCAAATTGAAGCATGCAATATAATAAGATTTGAAATAGGTTTTTTTAAACCTCGAACGAAGAAGTAATTCAGATGGATATTTGGAAAGAAAAAAAAAAGAAGCTATATTTAATTATAATTTACAAGTGTCTTTATAACATGTTAATTGAAGAGAGAAAACAACAAGAATAAACAAACAAAGGAAATTTGTGTATGTATGATTCTTTATAACTTACTTTTTCGGGACTTGGACCATAAATAGTCATCTACTCTTACTCCTACTCCCTTCTCTGAGAATCAACATAGCATAATCATTCCAGGAAGGCCGAGGCAGTCTTATAAAAAAAGATGAGGGTACCACTTTCAAATTATTCCATGAGGACTTGAGAAAGTTTTGTAAAAGAAGATGAGGGTACCACTTTCTATTGCAGAATTTCTATGTGAATAGAGAATGAACCATATTCTTTGGAGATAAGATAGAGCCTCGAGCCTAACTTCAAAGACATTACATAAATTGTTATGTTGTCCATTGAAGGTGTCAGGAAAGGGACACACATTCTCTATTGCACTAATCTCCCAATAGAAGTTTTACCCAGGTCATCTGTCGTCACAACCCTTTTAAGGAAGATGCACCCAAATAATCAGTGAACAATAACATTTAAAGAAGTTTCAGAGAGCGAGAAGAGGATTGTGATAGAAGTTGCCCTAGGTAAAACTTCTTTAAATATCTTAGCCAATCACGACCTCATAATGAGGAGTCTCTTGAACAACAATAACATATGGACAACAAATGTCTTAGCCAATTGTGATGGTCATGATTGCTCAAGGCGTGTCGCCTAAATAATCGGTAAACAATAACATTGTCCAAATAACTGCCTTGGACAACAAATCGTTTACAAGAATGGCTGAGACATGCAACATGCAACCACAGGCAACACGTCTTGGGCAATCATGACTGTGACATCTGCCCCCACACAATTTATTGGATGAGGCTGACTTTAGGTCTCTCGATGCGCTTCCAGCTGATCTCATAATGAGGAGTCTCTTCCAACCTACTAGGAGTTGTTGAAAATCACTTCTCCGTTTGTTGAGTCTTCATGTCTTCTCTGTTTGTGTCTTTCCTACTTTCTTCGCTTGAAACTTTTTTCTTATTTGTATGACGTCATACCACCTGCTTCTGCTTGATGTTTTCTTGGTCGAAATAATAACGTTTCAAGTTACTAACGTGGACAACAAGGTTAGTCCGCATCCATAAGAGCAATTGGATTCTATATGATGTCTTTATAATCTTATGGATAACTTTAACTAGTCCATAGTATTTTCACACCAATTTTTTGTTCTTGTTGCTTTGAACTCGAAGTTTATTTGAACTTAACTTATATGAACTCTTTATTTTTCTTGAAATTATTGTGGTTGATGCTTCCGACTGACCCTTCTCTTCATCCGTCTAGATGATATTTACATGTGAACATGTGTTGCTTCAGTGGTTTGTTTCTGTCTCCCTTCTTCAGTATCTGACCTTGTTTTTGTCTCTTCTGGTGGGGATAAATCCATTATCTGACCTTCTTTTGCGTCGTGGTGTTCATGTAGTGGCAATGAGGTTTCTATTGTGGTTGGCTCACTCGAGCTCCCCTTTTCAACTACAACAGTAACAGCAAGCGTAGATTCATCATGGCTATGGTTCTTTCTCAACTGTAGTATCGACGTCATTTTCAACCCTCTTGGTTGATGGATGTTTTTTTGAATGATCATCGAGTTAGACTCCATTAGTACTAGACATTTTGCTAGGGGTATGTAAATAACTTTGTGTTTAAGCAGGACGTTCATTCCTGACACGACGTCGAAGTCATCCATTTCAACTATCACTAAACAATTTGCCTAGTCCAAGGCTCCAGCTTGATTAGAGTTTTCATTGTGACTCTTAAGATAGGCAAAGCTTCCAATTTGACGGCGTTCATCTTTCCTGTATCTTGATGCCAAAGGATGTTAAAATATTTTGCATCGGTCTCCATCATGAGTTGTGGGTGGCTCTAGAGTTGAGAATGGTGTGTTGGATGATAGAAGTCCCACATCGGCTAATTTAGGGAATGATCATGGGTTTATAAGTGAGGAATACTAACTTCATTGGTGTGAGGCCTTTTGGGGAAACCCAAAGCAAAGCCATGAGAGCTTATGCTCAAAGTGGACAATATCATACCATTGTGGAGAGTCGTGTTCGTCTAACATGGTGTTCCTTACTACTTTGTGTTTTACCCAAACCTCGACATATATAATATATATATATTCATTTAACTATAACACATATGGTACATGAAAGAATTGTAACTCTTATGCTCATTAATATTATAATGGCTACTACCTAAATTATAACCTAAACATGAAAGAATTGTAACTCTTATGCTCATTAATATTATAATGGCTACTACCTAAATTATAACCTAAAGTTGATAATATTGTAACTCTTATGCTCATTAATATTATAATGGCTACTACCTAAATTATAACCTAAAGTTGATAATTGATGTCCAATTAGCCAACCCTATATTTGTAATCATTGTGGAGTGATTGAAATTACAATGAACGTAGTTTAAACTCCTAGTATCTTAAAGAAAGTTGGTCTCTTCTAATAAAACACGAAGTTCTCTTTAATATCATTAATAAAATTATGCTAACATGAAACTAAAACTGCGTTCAATTTAACTCCATTTTATTGTCATCTTGAATGACGTGTAGGATATATTCTTGATTTACCTTGATATTTCATATTAGTTAAGCTTTTTGCAAAATCACAATTAGACAACAACAACGATGAACTTGAGTCTGTTTATTATTTTAAAGAAAATTTCTTTCTCCATCTTATTCCTTATAACTCTGCAACTAAATTCATATTATGCTAAGAAACAAATTTTTTGGGTTGTAGTTTATTCGATAACACTTGCATATTAGAACAATCCAACATTACATGCCTTATTTACAAGTAAAATACTAGACCATCAACTTTTTATTTTATAGTCCAACAACCGCCGAAGAAAATAGATTTCAAACTTGAGAGAAAAAAATATATTGAGTAGGAGTTAAAAATGTTGCATTTTTTTTAGAAAGGGCATTTAGTCTAGTGGTATGATTCTCGCTTAGGGTGCGAGAGGTCCCGAGTTCAATTCTTGAAATGCCCTTATGTTCATTTCTCACAAGCAACAAACCCTATAGAATTGTTCTTTTCTCTTTTATTTTTCTCCCTTCTCTCTATAGTAATTATTATCGCAAATCGCAGACCCTTCTCTCTATAGTAATTATTATCGCAAATCGCAGACCCTTCTCTCTATAGTTATTATCGCAGACCCTTCTCTCTATAGTTATTATCGCAAACCCTTCTCTCTATAGTAATTATTATCGCAAACCCTTCTCTCTATAGTAGTTATTATCGCAAACCCTTCTCTCTATAGTAATTATTATCGCAAACCCTTCTCTCTATAGTAATTATCGCAAATCGCAAACCCTTCTCTCTATAGTTATTATCGCAAACCCTTCTCTCTATAATAATTATTATCGCAAACCCTTCTCTCTATAGTAATTATCGCAAATCGCAGACCCTTCTCTCTATAGTAATTATCGCAAATCGCAGACCCTTCTCTCTATAGTTATTATCGCAAATCGCAGACCCTTCTCTCTATAGTTATTATCGCAAATCGCAGACCCTTCTCTCTATAATTATCGCAAATCGCAGACCCTTCTCTCTATAGTTATTATCGCAAATCGCAGACCCTTCTCTCTATAGTTATTATCGCAAACCCTTCTCTCTATAGTAATTATTATCGCAAACCCTTCTCTCTATAGTAGTTATTATCGCAAACCCTTCTCTCTATAGTAATTATTATCGCAAACCCTTCTCTCTATAGTAATTATCGCAAATCGCAAACCCTTCTCTCTATAGTTATTATCGCAAACCCTTCTCTCTATAATAATTATTATCGCAAACCCTTCTCTCTATAGT